CTGACTCCCAGGGGAAGAAAAGCCAGGCACAGCGAAGCATGCAATGCATGGCTGCTCCCTTCCATAGCCTCTCATCTCCACAGTGCATTATTAATCTCAACACTATTTTTCTCACTAACTCAGCAAAGCAGAACTTTTCTTTTAACATATCCAAAGCTCAGGAACTCTGGAGGGAAAAAACAAGTTTTGTTCCAGTCTCTTGGCCTGTCCATTTATATGTTGCTATCAAGCACTTGTAAGGTCCCCAAGTCTTACTTAGAATCATAGAATCATAGAATAGTTAGGGTTGGAAAGGACCTTAAGATCATCTAGTTCCGAAGCCCCTGCCAAGGGAGAGACACTTCACACTAAACCATGTAATCCGAGGCTCTGTCCAACCTGGCCTTGAACAGCGCCAGGGATGGAGCATTCACAGCTTCCTTGGCCAACCCATTCCAGTGCCTCACCACCCTTACAGTAAAGAATTTCCTCCTTATAGCCAATCTAAACTTCCCCTGTTTAAGTATTAACCCGTTACCCCTTGTCCTATCACTACAGTCCCTAATGAAGAGTCCATCCCCAGCATCCCTATAGATCCCCTTCAGATACTGGAAGGCTGCTATGAGGTCTCCACGCAGCCTTCTCTTCTCCAAGCTGAACAGCCCCAACTTCCTCAGCCTGTCTTCATACAGGAGGTGCTCCAGTCCCCTGATCATCCTCATGGCCCTCCTCTGGACTTGTTCCAACAGTTCCATGTCCTTTTTATGTTGAGGACACCAGAACTGCACACAATACTCCAAGTGAGGTCTCACAAGAGCAGAGTAGAGGGGCAGGATCACCTCCTTCAACCTGCTGGTCACGCTCCTTTTGATGCAGCCCAGGATACGGTTGGCTTTCTGGGCTGCAAGCGCACACTGAAGCTGGCTCATGTTCATTTTCTCGTCGATCAATGTTGCAGAATGGCTCCAAGAGCAAGGCCATGGATCCTTAGAGGCCTTGTGCGAGCAAAGCAAGGTGTAGGCCTCACAGGTATCCGGATACCGGATGTGGGAGGAGAATGTGAAGGAAGCTGTGTAGAACTGACCAATACTGTTGTGACTAGTAGGCGTGGCTAAACACCACGCCGATATAAGCGAACTGCGCCACAAATAAAGTAGAAGTTTGCTTATCACCCATATTGGGTTGACGTGTCTTGCTTCTCCTCGCCGCTAACAGATCAACACCCCCAAGTCCTTCTCCGCAGGGCTGCTCTGAATCTCTTCTTTGCCCAACCTGTAGCTGTGCCTGGGATTGCTCCAACCCAGGTGTAGGACCTTGCACTTGGCATGGTTAAACTTCATGAGGTTGGCATCAGCCCACCTCACAAGCGTGTCAAGGTCCCTCTGGATGGCATTCCTTCCCTCCAGGGTATCAACTGAACCACACAGCTTGGTGTCATCAGCAAACTTGCTGAGGGCGCACTCAATCCCACTGTCCATGTCAGCGACGAAGATGTTGAACAAGACCGGTCCCAACACCGATCCCTGAGGGACACCACTCGTTACTGGTCTCCAGCCGGACATTGAGCCATTGACCACAACTCCTTTTGTGCAGCCATCCAGCCAGTTCTTTATCCACCGAGTGGTCCATCCATCAAATTGATGTCTCTCCAATTTAGAGACAAGGATGTTAATTAAATAAACAGATCCCTCATCACATACTTTTAACCTGCCCTAGATGTATTTGATATTTTATTCCAGTGCAAAATCTAAATTTCAGGTTTATGCCACAAACCTCACCTGATTTTATAATGGATAGGGTAGCAATATTTAGGGTTTTCATTTTAAACAATGGCATCTACCATCCTATTGCCCCTCTCTACAATCAAGCGCACAAGCTTTACTGCAGAAAGAATACGATTCGTAACTGCCAACCAGAAAAATACACAAACACTACAAAAGCCTACACTTTGATCAGAAATTAAGTCATTTGCTACTAACAGAACTGCACTGGTTTTCTGTCATAAACGTCATTAAATTGCTACAAACACCTCGAAGACAATCATTAAGATGTGTAAACATATAGCAGGTCTACGTGGTCAGTACAAAGCACCACACAAAGTACATAGAAAGTCTGCTCATAAATACTTTTTTTTAACAATTTAGCACTAGAAAAATATTACTTTAAAAGGCATCTTTTATTAAGTTATTCAGTTTGTCCAGGGCTGCTGGGGTTGTTCTATCCCTACTATATTACAGCCACCTGACTCTCTCTCCAAATCATTTTACTTTTCTGGAAGAAAAGGCTACATGTGGCTGGGATCCAAAGCTTAAGTACAATCTATAAAAATATAATTCTTTTAAGACCTTCTGCTCACATCCTGAAGGCCTGCTCAGCCAGCCCCCAAATTCTGTTTCCCACCCCCACCACACTGCAAATAAAAGCTTCGAAATACATACATACATACACACACAGAGTACATGTGTTACACTCTTCTACACAGAGATTTTTCTAAATAGCAGTGCAACCACAGGGCAATAGGTAAGTACACGTGATTTCAGTGGTAACATATGGCATAGCCTTCTCATGTTGCTGGTTTTCTTTGTCTGAATAATGTGCTGCCTTATTCACTGCTTTGCAAATAGTGGATTTATTAGTATTATTTGCACTGCGGAGGCACCAGGTTAGGAATGTGTTCTTATTTAAGAGCAGCCTTGGGAGCATCACATTTGCCTCAAGGTTCATTGCTGCTGCAGCAGTGACACCACCAAACTGGTGGCTGGTAGTTCTATTTCTGGTATCCAGTACTGGTTTTCCTGGTAAAGCTCACGAGAGCTTTCCTAGACTGTTGAAAGCCAAACTACTTTGTTTCCTTCTGGAAAATGTGAGAACCTAGCTTGGGCTCTCCTGAAAAAACATGCTGATAAAGCAGCTCCTTTCCATTCTGCATTCAATCCTCTTCGCTGGGTCCCTAGGGCATACTCCTCCAGTTTCTGATTTAACCTCATAGATCTACCTGAAATCTGCTCCTGCGTGCATGTATAAACTTGCTGCTTTACTCATTTGAAAGAGAAGAGGTATTTTTAGGGCTGGGATTGAACAGTTTCCATGGTTGGGTATGTGTCTTCAGTGGACATGTTTTAGAAAGCTACAAAACTGTTTAGCAGTAGGATCTCCCTAGAAGCAAATACCTTTCACAAAGAATAACCTTATCCTGTGATTCTAACAGGAGATGAATGACTAGTCTATGAGCCAGTACAGCTGCAATGAGATGCAAAAAACAGTTGTGTTTTGATTTATGAAGAAATAATTTTGGCTGAAGACTGACCAAAATTTGAAATGCTTCTCAGCTTCTAGACTACTCTTTAAACAGGCAAGGGCCTTTACTCAGGAGAGGTGGTTTTGTTTAGTACAAATATGAGCCAAACTTCTCCAGTGGGTGTAAGCATAATGAGGTAGCACCTTCTCTAATACGCAGTGCTCTCGTTAAACTAGGTACCTGCTCTCTTCCTCATGCAAAATGCTGCCCTAGCAGAAGACAGTATAAAGTGCTGACAGAAGCACTTGCTCTGACATGCAAGAACAACTGTTTCCTAATGTACAGCCTTGTAAGCTCTAACTTACGCAGTAAGACAAAAATTCCACGAAGGGGAGTGCAGCTAAGCACTGCATGAGAAACAGACCTAAAAATGAGTTACGTTTCGTGTTCCAAGCCCCTCTTCTCACCTTGTACGTAGGAATAAAGAGCACAACGCAGAAATCCTACACATGCAAGTAAGAGGCATACAAGAGCAGTGGTGCAGAACGCCAGCAGTTGTCTTCCCATGACATTTCTTAACAAAAAACAACAAACCAACAACTAAGACAAGAAGGATGTTACTCACTTCCTCATAGATGCTGTCTTACAATGAGATGATTACAGCACTCAAATGTGTGCTCCTTCATCAAGTACCCTTTCTCTATACTAGGATATAAGTAAGGAGACCTTTAATTACATCCACTTTATTCAGCAAGACTATCGAACTGTTCTTGTTCCGTTTAGTTCTGAAATTATTCACATATGCAAAAATAGGATCTAACACTTTGTGTGTGCACAGTATATTAAATGTAGATGCTTTTATTACAATCTTCCTTGCCACATATTTTAAAATAAAATAAATCAATACAATCACCGTAACAGTCTATGGACAACAAATTAACACCATCCAATCAGAACACAGTTAAGATAATCAAAAAGGCAGTACGAGTAGCTGGAAACCTTGGTCCTCTGATTTTCCTGTATAACATATTGACTATAGATTTCTTCCATTTATGAGAAAAATCAGCAAAGAAAACGTTAACAATTTATACAGATTTCTTAAATATCTATATAGAGTGTGAACAGCACTGATTGTAGCACAATGTCTTTATGCACTTCTCCCAAAGAGGTATGTGGGAATTTTAAGCATGTAGAGACTAATACAGGCCCAGAATAGAGTAGATCTTTTGTAAACAACTTTTGGTCTCTCCTGCATGATGGCTCCACAAATGAATGCACTTGGGAATAATCAAAATGGCTGACCACATACACTGCAAAATTCATTCCAGAAAAAACAGATCCAACATAAATTACTTCCAGTGGGTGAAAGAATGGTGGGGAAGTCGACTGGACACAAACAAAAAGCATTCATCACTCCCATGCATACGTGTACGCATTAGAAGACTCTCTTGCTGCTAACTTCACACGTACGCATGGGAGTATGTGTGGCAGTGAAGTCAGCAGTCCCTAACTGGTGATGCTGGACTGGTGGGCTACAGACACCTTTCATGCTGTTAGGACGGTCACGGAAGATTATCCAGTAGTTATTGATTGTTAAGAGATGTTAAGCCTAATTCTTCACTGAAGACATAAACCCAACCTAATTTAGATCAGGTCAGTGAGAGTTTAAAACAGGTATCACATGAGCAAATCCCAGAGACTTAAGCAGAAGAAGCTAACAGCCCATTGCTACAGAATCCAGCTACTTCAAAATATGAATGCTTGCTAATTGAGTGCACTAGTATTTTATTTTTTTTCTTAATATGGATATGTCACAGTTTCTAGGGAAGGTGTGAATTACTGAACTGATTCATAGTGGGAAAAGACCACACCTGAAAGGTAGAAGCTGCTCCAACAAACATACAGATTTTTATGTCAAGATGACAGTTCATTATGGTTTACAGATAAAACATTATTTGCAAGGTAGCTTTAGGTTCTGTAAATCCCAAGCTTCTTTGTTTCAGAGAAAGCCAGCCCTTGCCTTTCTCTCACTTCCCTTGTGAAAGTCTACTTTTTTTTAGTGGTAAGAGAAATTGTGTTGTCTCACACTTACTAAATGGGCTTTCTGTAGCACATGCTCACAACAGGAAAGGTTTCTTTGACAGCGATTACTTATTGCTTCTTACAAAAAAAATTAAAAAGCCAGTTTTGAGCTTCTCTCTCCTGTTGATCCGCTGATGTGAAGAACTGGAAATCTACATTTTGCACTGCACTAGAGCAGGGATGGCCACCATATGACCCTCAATTTGTCCCCATGCAACTCCCAAGACGGACTGTGTTACGTGACTGGCAATGAAGTTATTTCAGGGAGTGCTGGGCATTTCACAGCTCTGGCTATAGGGAAACAGTACAGCAGGATCCACTTCCTGGGTCATACATTCCAGGCAGGTAAGGGTGTGAAGCATAACGCCACAAAGTCAACCATGATATGTACAGACAGGGAAGTTCAGTATATTGATCCCTTCTTCCCAAGAGTATGGTAGGGATTATATGCTTCCACATGAAATAAGTCTAATTTTAAAAGATAAATAAACTCACAGTTACGTTTGGAATATGGCGTGCAAGACTTCTTTAATCAATGCTATAGACAGTTAAAATCCTTTTGTGTTCAACTGCTGGAATGCATCACCAGCAACAATATTTAAGTACCTTTGCTGTATTCAACTATCAAAAAAGGCAACTGCATTCCTGGCACAACTGCCCAAGCAAAAAGCAGCATATCTAAAAAGGGGGCAAATTATTAATGCTGAGCTATCTCCTAGCATGTCTGGAAGTTCGTGTCTCAGGAAGAAATAAACTATTTGCATTAATTTAAAAATACAGCGCCGCAAAGAAAGGCAATTTGTTGTACTTCACAGAATCACAGAATGGTTGAGGCTGGAAGTGACCTCTGGAGATCATCTAGTCCAGTCCCACTGCACAAGCAAGGTCAAGTACAGCAGGTTGCTCTGGGACATGTTCAGTCAGGTTTTGAGTATTTCCAAGGGTGGAGACTCTACAAGCTCTCTGGGCAACCTGTGCCAGTGTTCTATCACAGTGATTTATATTTTTTTAATGTTTAAATGTAATTTCCTGTATTTCAATTTGTGCCCATTGCCTCTTACTCTTTTGCTGGGCACCAGCAAGAAGAGCCTGGTTCCTTCTTCTTCACCTCTTCCCATAAGATATTTATACATACTGTCAAGATAGTTTATGTCTTTTTCCATGCTGGCTACCAGCCATGAGCTCATAGAATCATAGTATCAACCAGGTTGGAAAAGACCTTTAAGATCATCCGGTCCAACCCTTACCCTAGCATCTCTATTACTGACTGATAATTTTAGCAACTGTTCACATCCCTGATATTATTATTGCTAGAAAGTTATTTTATGGCAGTGGTTACTAAAAACTGTGGCAGGAGAGTCACATTCTGTAGGCTGTTTCTGGTGGGGTTTCCACCCTCCTTAAAAGTCTCACAACATACGAATTTATTTTTTTTTTTAAATGTCAAATGCATGAGAGAAAAAAATTATTATTCATTGTTGTGACTGAAAGCCTAAAGTTTGCCTCTTACATTTACTGCAAAACGTGTTCATCTCTTAAATTTCATTTGCTTCATGAAATGAAAAATATGGGGGATTTCAAAATTATTATTAATTATGAAATCTTACTAGATAAAAAAGAATCTGTTCAGCCAAAAATTCACCTTAAGGATAAATTACTCTTCTACTAGGTGAAACCAATTAACTTTTTCAATGGCAGAAAATCCACAAAAATAGTTGGATAAATGAAGACTTCAGTGGCCAAAGCAATCTCCAAACCAGCTCTTCTGGGGACTCCCAAGCTATGCAGGTGACACTATCTGTTAGGCAGGTGTGATGAGGAAGATACAGGAAAAGTTATCTTGGAGATACCCAAGAGTGAGTTTCCTGAGCATACTCGAGTAATCAAGTTAAAATTAGTCCTTTCCACTAATACAAATTTGCTTCATGTCACTGGAAATAGAAATGCAATTTTAAGCTCCCTATACATCTTAAACAAATAAAGCTCATCAGCTGAATTTGGTTTTAACATCACACTAGACCTCATCTTGGGAAAAGCAAGAACCTCAGTTTCATTCAGAAATCATATAGAAGTACAAGTGGTCAGTACTGTCAGCGTATCTGCCCTACTTGTGTAGTACGTGCGTGTGATGTATAGGATGCTGAAATTATTAAAAATCCAATTTTGAAACCTTATGAAGGGAATTTTGAAATAAAGATGCATTAATAATAATGAATTTCTGTCATCTCTAATCAGTGTAGGCTACAGAGACATTATGAACAAATTAATGTTGTATGTTTTACTGCATCTGGTAAACATACATAGTTTAGTAAGGTTTAGTAAATCACAAATACTACTTTTACAACATTGCTTCATTGATAAGCCTGCCCATACTGCTCACTACTGTTAAATGTAAGTGCCCTGGGCAGTTTGTAAATGCATCTGTCCATGAAGAACAAACTAGGGAAGCCAGCTTTCAGGGCAAGAGCTGCTTTCTCTTTTGTCCTTACAGATTGTTTGTCCTTAGTTAAAAATAAACAAAGAATCAAACCTGGCCTCAGAGGCAGAACTACAAACTTCTAATCAGTGCTACTGAATTCATATTAATGAAGATGTTTCTGGAGCAGCTTTTGGAAGAAAATCATGTGGGTGCCCATAGACATCAGAAATAAGCAGCCAGTACCTGCAAAAACTGAAACTGTGCAGCTCTTCATAGACAAGAAACAGGAGCAGTTATCAGTAATGTGAATGACTCCTCAAGGTCACTTCAGAGAACTTAAATGCCAAACATCTTCAAAGTACTCCTACACACAATCAGAACTTTATGTGTAGTTTTAACCCTGCTTAGTTTCATAGCAGCTGAGATACTGAATACCAGAGTAGGTAACCAGATACCTCCAGGAAAAGCGAGCATGGAGCCAGCTCCATTGGCCCTGGATGCCATCTTGAAAAATATTTTCCAGTCAGTCAAGCATTCCATTAGCAAATTCACATCTAAAGTCTTTGGCAAGGCAGGAACATTGTGAACATTGTACTCTCTTGCCCTGGGTAATTACACAGACCACATGAATTTGACAGCCATTTTGATGCCCGCCAATATGCTTCAATGCACACCAACTTGTTTTTAAAACTGAGCAAGGCCAGCACATATGTTTGAGAGTGGATATCTGCCTATGCTGGGCACTATTTCATGAAAGTCAGATTTCTGTCACAGATCTAAGGCAAATATTACAATTTACAGGAAAGAAATGAGGACATCAATACATTGTGCGTTATTGGAGACATACAACCTTTATAACACTGTGGCTTTCACTATGATCTCTGGGTTTTCTATGTCTTTTTTGCTTTGGACCATTCTGAGTTCCAGCTGGGCTGAGTTTGGTTTGTTTCCTTCTCCAGCTTGTGCTAGAAAGAGTACATCAGAATGTCACTAAAGATAGCAGTATAAAAAGAGAACAAACTACATTGTTCTGTTACCCCCCCTCCCCAGTCTCTCTTACTACCCCTTAGTTTCTAAGGTGGAAGATCCAGGTAAGCACTGTGATTTCCTATCACCCCTGTTCTGTACCACTCTCCAGGAAAGAAACACAGCTCTGCCATTAATTAGAAAGTGACACAGCCATGCTCCAGGAACCAAGAGATCTGTACCTCTTTAGGAATTGAAAGGCATGAGAACTCCTAAGGGGAGAGAAGACAAGGAAAAAAAAAAAATCTAAAAAAAAAAAAATAAAAAAATCACTTCTTACATGGCCAACACAGCAAACAGACAGTTTATTATTAGATGATAATCCCTTCTCAATACTAAACACACGCACTCCAAGGGAAAGTAAGTGAGCTACACATGAAACAGAGAGCAAAACACTTAAAAAGAGAGCAAGAAGCTCTCTTGCACATCAAACTCAGCATTTCCTCAAGTTCTTCCACCACTGTTTTGCAAAGCAGTCAAGTGCAGTCAGTGTGACTGCAGTCCCACTACAAGCTGAACAGTGACATCTTCAGTCAGGTGTTGTCAAAAATCAAAAAACTTGGAGGACACAGTGAGGAACAAAGACTGTGAAGCTCTCATTCTGTAAATCCTCTGCTTTTACACTGAGAGCTACCTTTGGCCAGGAAACCCAGAAATCTCTTTAAATGTTTCTTCTGCTGTAAATCCGGATGGAACAAGGGAACGAGATAAGAATTAATTACCTTTTGCACTCTTAATGGTCCTTTGCAGAACATGCTGCATGGCTGACACAGTCTTTTCACATGCTACCTGCATTAACATAACATATTCAGGTTTTAGTAAAATTCCAGCTGCTTAGTTAATATTATTATTTCAAAACCACTGGTATTAAGAGGCAAACATGACTGAGCAGTCACAAACAGGATGACAACCATGTAATATAGAGTTTGGGGAAAAAAATTTAGACTCTTACTTCTTCCAAAACAGGTATTAGAAATCACACACCTGTAAGGACTTTATGTGCTTAAAGGGAAAGAAACAGAATAACATATCCAATGAATTGATTTCAGGGCTTATGATGAAGTGAGAGTAAAAAATGTAACTACATACATGCATGCAGTCTCTCTCTCTTGAGAAGAGCATCTTATTTGTCAAACAAAAATGCAGTAATAAAGGAAAAATAAACAGTCTAAGCTTGCAGAGACATAAATAACTTCTCTCACAACCTTCAAATTGTTTGGATGCTTATGTGTCCATGCCAAAAGCATAGCAGCGAACAAGTCTCCTGTTCCAACAAAGACAGCATCCACTTTAGGAGACTCCACTCGAATTCTTTGTGTCATCTTGGTACCATCTGCTTTAGCTAAAATAAAACAGACAGTTAAGTAACAGACCCAGCAATGAATACAATAGCAGTCACTATAATTTAAAAGTGGTTACTGGATTTGAATTCCTTTGTTGTCTGCAATATAAAGATGCTAAGGATTACTGTAAACTTTGTACCAGCTCTTCTAGAAGATGCTACCTTTCAAAACTTTGCCAAGTTGGGATAGCTTTTACAACTTATATACTGTAGTTATTTCACTTAAGAGGGAGCAGGTAGCTAGCACCTTTATTTTCATGTAGGATTGAGAGCCACCTATTTTCATTTAGACAGCAGCAGCAGCTTGCTCAGGAAACCACATATTTATGGAGAGGGCTGAAGGTAACTGAAAGCACAGAACAGGTTAAAAAAAAAACCCAGTTTAATGAAGGAGTTTGTGACTTACTTTTCCTGTGGCTTCCCAGAGCAATTAGGTAGTCGTTTCCTAGAGGTGCTTGTAGGTCTGAGCTTGTGATCACCACAGTCTCTGGTCCCATGGCATGGAGCATATCCATTACCTTTCCATGTGCAAAAAGGCAGAAATCAATTTTTAATCACCACTACAATGTGTGTTGATTAAACTTTGCATCATTCTTAGTACTAAGGATTTTTTAACAAGCACCTTATTTTGGCATCTTTTGTAAGGAGAAAAAAGAGTTTCTACTCAAAAGAATTCATTGAATTAGGAGAAATTATTTGAAGTAGTAGAATGAAAACATGCATTTAAATGAACACACCTGTTAAAATATACAAGCATCTCTATTATCTTTGGATGCTGCTCTGAAAAGAATACTCTGCTTCAGATGTGATCAGATTTTTTTTTGTCTGCATCACGTTTTCAGAACATATTATCAAAAGAATAAGAGAACAAATACACAGATACATGCTAGTTTTCAAGATGGCAGCTCAGGTGCTAGAAAAGTCACAACTCCAAGTCATGAAGTCTTATTTAGCTACTACTTCAAGAGTTAGCAAAAATGAAGAGTTAAAAAGCTAAATCAGAGGCACAAGTGTGTGTCTGTCACAATCTTTTCTCATTCTGTTACAAACGCCAAATTACACCTGTAAATTCTGTACCTTTGCAGGTGTATTTCCACTCTGTGTGTGCCTCACTTAAATTCATTAATACTCTACTTCTGACATCATGATCAATTGCCACAGAAATGATTTTGATTTCACAGAAGAATTACTTCAATAATGATTTTAGCATAAAACACAGATAAAATATTAATTCTCCCAGAAGAGTTTAACTAAAAATCCTTTCGGGCTAGCTATGACTCAGGAGGAGCTGAATGATAAGGATTTATTTCTGCTATTTTGTAATTCTCTATTGCTTGCTTTCTTGCCTAAGCCTCCAAGTTTCTTCAGCTGTCAGAGCTCTTTGCACAGACATCAGCTGGGTTTTAAAAGAAGTAGGAAATCCACCAGCATATGCCAACATAATCAACCTGTGTGCATGTGAGGTAACAATAAACTCTGTTGTATTTCTTAGTCACAATTCACCAAGAACCTAATCACCACTATTTCCAGCTGTAGGACTTAGTCACTTCTACATTAATAATTCATCATATTTAATGTTAGAAGACTATACTGTTGCCACTGTTTTGCTAAAGAAATGAATGAAGGTACGTCACCATGGAAATAGATGCAGAATTCCTATCACCTCCACAGGGGATAAATTCCAGCATGGGTTATTACGATCTATTTATAACATGCAGCTGGGGAGACATTAGAATATAATATCCTGAAAGCAACTATTTTAAAAATGCTTCCATTCCTAAGTATAATTCTATCTCTTTAGAAGAGATTTTTTTAGACTTGTTATAAGTGCGAGATATCACATGAATCAGTCAGAAAATGAACTTGTAAAATTATTTAGCACACGCAACTTGTGTTTACAGCTGAAATATGCAAACTTATAACTAATGGCTGTACAGCTAATAGCATTGGTCTTCAGACTGTGGTTCCGCTGGTGAGGGCCAGAATCAAAAAACTAGGTTTCAGTTAGCAGCTAGTGGCATGAAGCACAGATTAATCAGCCTCGCCCAGCACAGTGTTGTAGTCTAAAACTGCAGGGGAGCGAGGGTGGATGGACAGTTAAAAGAGCTGGAGCTGCTTCTGTCCTGAGATGGTAATCAACCCGTGTTGCATGATGCTGCTGAAGGAAAAAAAACAACAAACATTTGGGCCCAGAGACCCCAGCTACTCTCTAGGGTGCCACTGCAGCTGCCTTTTGTTTAAAGATTTTGTGTCCCTTTGAAGTTCAAAACCAAAATGGAAAAAATAACATCAACCCATTATGAAAGCACTTGATCAGTCAACAAAACAAAGAGTTCAGCCCTTCCCAAGACATCAGTAAAACCATATTCCTATTTTGTCCTCCACCAAGCCATGCAGTTTTTTATTTTCCTCAGTTTGCTTCAGAGGGTAAATCTTTACACCTCAATGCAATCTGTTTGCAGGCAATCTATCATCTCTGTATGGTGATGACAGCGGCTGTCAATGCTGTGGATTTGTCTGTCTTTCACCAGGTAGCACCTGAAGGCCAACATTCCCAATCTAGTTTCTCATGTATGCACCCTATTCCTTTGCAACCCAGGTCTCACCCCCTTTTGAGTCAATTTAAGGAAGAGAAACAGCACCAACAAGCACTGTCAGGAAAAGATTCAGAGTGTATTGAACAATCCTTGTAAGAGCTTGCTGGTAAGCTCTCTTCTTGCAAACTGGCAGAACGAGAAACGTCCGTCTTAACACTCAGCATTGCTGTTGCACGACTCGCTTGTGGACAGCAGAGGGAGTGATTCATGCAGGTTTCTAGCGCTCAGCGTCACGCCGGGTTTTCACCCCTACCACTGCATTTCCACAGCGTGTTCTTCTGCTACCCTTCCTATACTGCAGGAAAACAAACTCACAGAGATCTACCCATTACCATTGCAATGCCTTTATTTGTGGTTCTTGCGGGAAGTTTCTCCAGGAGCCTGACACCAGAACTTAAAGCGGTTTGTGCCTGGAGTGCACGAGCTTTAATGATAAATGGAGAGAAATTAGATTGGAAATTAGAAATTAGATTGGATATAAGGAGGAAATTCTTTCCTGTTAGGGTGGTGAGGCACTGGAATAGGTTGCCCAGGGAGGTTGTGAATGCTCCATCCCTGGCAGTGTTCAAGACCAGGTTGGACAAGGACTTGGGTGATATGATTTAGTGTGAGGTGTCCCTGCCCATGGCAGGGGGGTTAGAAGTGGATGATCTTAACGTCCTTTCCAACCCTAACTATTCTATGATTCTATGAAAGGACAGAGGCCAAAGTGACTTCAAGGTTGAAGACAAATAGCAAACTACAGCATTGCAGGCAGGAATTCCAAAAGAGATTATACACATCCTACCCCTTGCCTACTTACCTCTAAAGCTTCCTTTTCTGTGTGAATCTTCCTGCCCGTGAGTAACCTGAGAATGAAACACAAATCTTAAAAGAGCACAAGCTCTCCAGGCAATGACTGCTTTGTTTACTCTGAAAGGAGGAAAGCTTGGGCTGCACCATACAGGCCTAACAGGTTTGTAGCTACAAGATCTGCTGTACCAGACCATTGTCTTTAAAAGAAACATGCAGAGACACACAGCACTTCTGAAGCCACCCTAACTCACACCAGTCCTAACCTGCTTCCTGTATTGATCCCTGGACCATAGAATTCCATCACAAGTGTCTTCTTTTCATCTCCCATGCAGCTGCTTCCTCCCCTTAGGGGGGACAGCCTGTTATGTATCACAACAGATTATCCCCTGACCAAAGAGTCACAGCTATGTAGACAGTACAGGCAAGACATTTAAATTCGTAACTCCTACGACAGGTTCCCATAGTGCTAATTCTGAATCTCATTTTAGGGGGTTGAGCCAAACAGTTTTGATATTCTGACATATAATAAAGTGTTTCTTTGAACAGCTAAAAAACCAAAACCCAATACATACATACATATGGCAATATATCGAGACAAACTATACTGAGACAAAATAAAAGAATAAGATCAGTCTCCCCTGCTTTTACTCCAAGTTTGTTTGTCAGTGAAAGGAAATAAGTACTTACTCTGCTTCAAACTGGTTAGGAGTAATTATATCAGCAACAGGTACAACTTTGTCCCTGTAGACTGGGAGAAGATCCTTGGGCACATACTAGGGGAGAAGGAACATTATCAAATGTTGTCAGCAGCATCTGAGATACTGGACTGCAACTCTCCTTTCCTCAGCTACCATTCATGCTGTCATACAGCCCATCAGCAAAGGGAGATTGGTTGTCTAAGCAGGTGACAAACTAAGATGTAACAGGAGTCCACAAAACCTGTTTGTTCTTGAGACTCAAAGCTGAAAAGCATCGGCTGCTTTGGTATGCACTGGAGCTCAGCTAGGAAGGAGTTCAGGTTAGATTGCATACAGGGGACACCTCACCATCCTGAGTCCTGCTGTAACTCAGTTTAACAAAACCTTTAATGGAAGTTCATTGTTCTAGTAGCTGATATTCTCTGGCAGAACCCCCTTTTGTCCCTGTTTTTTCTCTGTTAGTCTCAGGAAATCCAGAGAGGGACTTTTTACAAGGACATGTAATGAATGGACAAGGGGTAATGGCATTAAACTGGAAGAGGAGGCATTTAAATTAGACATTAGGAAGAAATTCTTCACTGTGAGGGTAGTGAGGCACTGGCAGAGGCTGCCCAGAGAAGCTGTGGCTGCTCCAACCCTGGAAGTGTTGAAGGCCAGGTTGGATGGGGCTTTGAGCAACCTCGTCTAGTGGAAGATTTTCCTGTCCATGGCAGGGGGTTTGGAACTGGATGATCTTTAAGGTTCCTTCCAACCCAAACCATTCTATGATTCTATGGGTCCCTGTGTTACTGTCTCCCATTCCAATTGTATAAGTAACAGATACAATCCCACCGCAGTGTTGACCACTACGTAATGGTTTATGAGCAGGTAAACTGTAGAAAGGTACAGGAACAAAGAGAAATTCATAGTGCATGACTAGCTAAGGCAGAAGAAATTACTATTGCTGATCTCTTCCCACACTGCATTTTTACTAAAACTATTCGCTAGTTTTAATCAAAAAGGAATACTTCTTTGTCAGTATGCTGCCTGCTATTGTCACACAGAAACCTTCTGTCACTGATCGCAGCTCCGCGCCTTAGAGTTGTTGGATCTCACACGAAATAAGTCATCTTCACTTAAGTGGTATGTCAATTCACATGATCATTGATAATGCCAGCCGGGCTATCAGCCAAAACAGATCTCCTGACAGATGAGGGAACTCCAATGAGACAAAGATGGGGAGCAGAGGGGTATGTTCCTGGTGACATGGTCTGTATTCCACCTTGTTGCTCAACAGTTAGAAATAATCCCATGGCTATGCAGCCATCATTCTAATACTAAACTCATTCAAATACAGGAAATCAAAGAACAAACTTTCTTGATGCTGGAATCCAAATCCACAGTTAGGTAAAGTAGCTTAGGTTTGATGTTTAAAATTAGTAAATCTTTATACATCTATATACTCATTATACAGAGAATCCAAACAGGTAAGTACTCACCATAGAGCCTTCTCCATTCCATTTGTCACCCATCACTGGATCGCATACTGTAACAGAATAAATGTGGCTTTAGAAATGGGGTACAATTATAGAGACCTCGTGGGAGGGAAAAGTTCTAGGTAACAGTAGTAGCTATGTAACAGAACTGAGCACCTTACAACTTACATACTCTCACAGCTCTTGCAGCACACTCAATCTGAAACTTGTAACTGGTGACTGCCAATTCTGAAAGAGCAGGCCAAGCATCTTAAACAACTGTCAGAGGGTTATAGGCACCCTCTCCTTACACGTTTCCATGTTGTTGTATCTGAAAGTGATGAGTATGAGAAGGTCTGACTGATGGGAGTAAAGGGGCTTTTGATATGCAATATGCAGAAAGCCCTCCCCCTTCACTCCCCAAACCAAAACTCTGGAATAGTAATATGGTGGGGAAGAATAGTAATATGGGAGGAGCTGATAGCTGTGAAGAGAGTCCTATTTTTAATTTAGCATAAAAAGATACATGCCAAACTTACACACCAAAATGCTGTGTGTACACATAAAATAAATATGTGTATTACAATGAAACAAGAAGAAAAATCCATGCCAAAGTAGGTAAACTCCTATCAACACACATTTGGCACAGGTTATGAATTATAAGTAGTATTAACAACATACTCTGAATGCCCTCAGTTTCAAAGTGGAGATGGAAACAGCCTAGCTTTGTATGTTAAAAAGGAACATTGTTCATTATAATAAAAGTTAAAAAAAGCTTTTAGCAAGATAAAAAAGAAATACAAATGGGAAAGTATCAAATCAAGGTTCGATCAGTATTTAATGAAGTTTCTATGGGTAAAAAGAGGGTAATTTACTTTACGTTTTAAAAGTATTTTCATATAATCATAGAATAGTTATGGTTGGAAAGGACTTTAAGATCATCTAGTTCCAACCCCCCTGCCATAGGCAGGGTCACCTCACACTAAACCAAGTCACCCAAGGCTCTGTCCAACCTGGCCTTGAATTACATTTCCTTACATTATAATCTATTTCTTAAATATAAAGGATCTTAGAAGCCTGGCTGTGTTCCCATCCTCTGACCACTTCCTTCCTGTTCTACAGAGCTAAACGTTTCTTTCTGCTCATACTCCCAACAGTTTTTAGCTTTCACTTACTAGTACAAGGCTCCGGAAAAGCTGGCAATACAACAGTGTTAATAAGGGCTAAAAAGCAGCAAACCCTGAATTCATGAAGATCTCTCTGCTACATTTTTCTAAATGAGAACTCTGCTTTGTTAAGTCAGATATCACACTGTGCAGTATGACACCTTGCAAATCCTGCAAACCATTCTAGATATTTCCTGACCGCAGTTTACAGAACCTGAAGGTGACAGGCTCAAACCTTCATTCACAGCTTCATATCCCACTAAATTCTCACTGACTTTGCCCTGTCACTCTAAACGTTTTGCTCAATTCAAGCCTACGCTGGGTATGTTCAAAAGTCCTGAAACACTCAAAGATTCAGGAAAGAAAGAGGAAAATCTTTTATCACAGGTTTAAGTTTGCTTTGACACGTCAACAACAGTTGCTAGAGTCTGTTGCTCTTTGAGTGCTCCTAGGCAATCTTAGCAGAGGGCTCCAGAGTTGAGTTAAATAAACCTCAGAGTTTAAGCTAAATTATGAAGCTTATAAGGCATAGTAAGACACTTACGGGATGCAACATGAAACCATAGCAGGATAACATGAGAGAGCCTATCCTGCTGTTGACTGACTTGGGAAACAAGGAGAGGCTTGATCTATCAGCAGTTACAGGCTATGCCTCTGAACTACAAACAGCAGCAACTGGCTGGGATTTTACAAGTCTTTCTTTGATAACAGCCAATCAGTCCTCAAGGTGCATTCTCCTTTGGACAGCACAACGCAAGAAAATTTCTGAAAGGCATAAAACCATAAAGATAAAAACCTGACTCCCTCAACACTTAAGCAATGCTGAAACGCATCTTCAGCCAGACCAGAGTACAAGATGGTTGTGAAATGCTTGGTAATGTCAGACCAGGGTTTTCATCCTAAAACATTAAAATGATGGGCATGTACACTGATGAAGCAGAAAGGATTATAATATACATCCTTACCATATACTAGGTTAGAATTCTGTTGCTTCAACTCCTGGACAATGTCCACCACCATTGCAAGAAACGATGTGTCTCTTGTATACCCTTTGGGGAAAAAAAGACACTTCTGAAGTTACGTTTTCACAAACACTTTTTTTCTTTTCTCTGGATGGGAATGTTGCATACTTCCCATTCTTGAATGATGCATTTTTAGAACAAAGAAATTTTAGTATTTCATTCAGGAATAATAAGTAGAAGACAAATTGAGACAGTGTTTGCACAACTACAAATATAACCTTAAAAATCCATTTACCAAGTATGTTATATAAGAAGGGCTCATACAACTTCAAAATGCTTGACTATATACACAAACAGGTCAGACTTGAAGGAAAAAACATGCCTTTTCTTCAAAACAGCAGTCTGAATCAGTGCTGTTTATCATCTAGTAAATAAGAAATATTCTTAATTCCATATACTTTTCACGTACTGTAGTTTGAAACAGGTTTTTTTGATTATTAATGTTGGTCCAACACATTAATGCCATGGAGAATTAATCTTTAATATTTTAGAGCAATGGCTGATATCTCAATAAAATTCCTATTTTTAAGCTTAGCAATGAAATAAGCTGGAAATAAGTTTTCTTGTATCTCAAGGCCCTAATCACAATGCTAGGACCGCAATACTCTTATTTCATCATTAGTTTCTTTATTTTATAGATGCTTCTTTTTATATTTTATGCATTAGTTTTATTTACAACATCTATTAAATAATAATTTGATTTTCATTGATTTTAGTTCATTTAATAGTAGTAATTTTAGCAAGGTAGTTTCTTCAAATGTTCAGCTTGGAAATGTCGACTCCACTAACATTTTTAAATACATTTTGGAGATGTTTTTTTTTAACTCACAAATTTGATCAATTCTTAGATATTGCAGAGAAATGCAAAAAGTTTTTGACAAAATGCTTTGTCTAATGTCTATGAAATACTGTTAATCAGTCAAAACAGCCAAGCAGAGATTTTTCTTTACAATAACCTGTGATGGTAGACTGGCTGAAAAAAAAACAAACCAGATTATGTTTATTAATGATTAATGTTATTGACAGAGGTGTTTGAAAAAAATTACACTGATTTGGAGTTTCTCACCTTGCGTATTTTACTCTAAGTGAAACAAATACATGGAGATCTACAACTAATTAACAGCTACAGAAGTTAACAAAGTGTTATTTTGTATAATCAGCCTAAAAATAATAATTTCAATTTCAGCCAAGATATTGACAGCCATCAGACATACAATTACAGTCAAATCCCACCTGCTGACAATATTTTTTCCATGTTTGAACAATCAAATCCAGGCTGTTAGAAGTACAAAGTGCAGTTGTGCACTATAGTGATAGAAAAAAAAAATAAAAAATCTGTCTTTTGGCTGAATGAAAAAAAAATCTGAATTATAAGTCTGACCACAGCACAAATGAACACTAAACCACTGACTTTCATTAGATCTTAAGAAACTAGTGCCATTTCTACCCATGCCTTCTTTTTTTCCATACTGAAAATGGCTATTTTTTTAAATGAGATATTTTTAAATGAGCATGAACACACTGACCCATCTACCCACAAATCCTATTTGAAAAGGCACATTAATAAATATTTCTTTTATTTTTCTCCAAACTTTTTCTGCTGAAGATTACTGGGTTTCCTTCTACCATTTTTAATTTCTTACCTCTGTTTTGCCAGTGTAAGACTGTGACAGCAAAGTGTAAGACTGTGACAGCAAAGGAGTTGTGAGTCTCTTCAAAGAGTTCAAAGTAAAATAAAAAAAGACTATATCAACTTAAAAGTTTACAAATTTTACACACTAACATCTCCTGAAACTCCTACAATACAAAAGCGTGCTTTTCCGGAATATGCCCTCTGAGTTGCTGTGAGGAAAGAAAGGGTGTGCATCTATTTTTCAATCACAAAGAATGTATTTATGCTGAAATTGATTTCTTAACCTTAATCCAGGCTGTTTTCTGTTTAGTTTCCTTTACTTTGGAGCTATTTCCTGAAGAACTGATAATAACTCTTCAGATATGCCACAACCTTCAAGACAGAATGACTGCTTTATTAGGGTTATGACCCAGACACTTAAAAGTTTTCCCTGTGAATGAAGCACTTTCCTGTATGTGTAGAGATGAAATTAAATCAATAAATCAATAAAGTCTGGCAATATATTTCTGTTTACCTTTAAAAAGTGCCTGTTCACAGCTATAAAATATTGACACTGTAATCTAAACTAGGTGCCAGCACTTACTGAGGTGAAACCCAATCAGTAATCTACATTTGAGAAACAGGTATTAGATGAGAAGTAATTTTTTATAAAAACTGCACATAGGATTTCTCCTTTCTATAAAACATTCTACAAGAAATTTTCTTTGTCTATATTTATAAGTATTTTTGTCTGAATTTATAAGCAAATACAGAAATACTTCTACATTTGTTTGCCTAATGGCGAGCAAATGAAAAACGCTGCATGGTCATTATGTCCTTCAGAACTGTATCCATTCAAAGGGCCTACACAGTAACAAAAGGAAAAAAAAAAGAAAAAGAAGTACATCAAGAGATATGACAAAAGTCAAAACCAAAATCCAACCGTGCTTACAGTTTAGTCTGTATCCAAGGCACTGCCCTAGAATGATCAAGTACAAAAAAGGAAGACAGACAACTTGTGTATAAAATCATGCTATAGCACTAGAGAGTGCCAGTCCTGCACATTTAGGAGAAATGGTTAAACTCATGTCTTCATAATAAAAGTTTTAAAATAATACTCTGACATTCCTCACCCTTTTTTTCAGTAGACACTCCCAAAACATTAATTAAGTCTGTACATGACTGGCCTGTACAAGTCTGTGAACTATACAAGGCTATCAATTTACCTAAAACGCTGGAAAACACTGGCTGTTTCCAGCTAAACAGCATGAGCAGTTGAGACTCATACACAGACAAAACTGCAGGAGGAATCAAAGGAGGGAAAAATGCAATTGCTTGGTTTCGAATAAGGAGCGATGTGATTCATATTCTTTTACTTTTATTCACATACCATAGGAACTCCAAGGAACAAGCTCTTCTTACCTGTGAGTACATAATCGTACCGGTTGACCTTGTTCAGCTTAAGTCCTTCATACAGTTCATGAAGCTCTTCTGAATTTAACACCTGACCCTTCCAGTGGGCATAACCTGCAAAGTAAATGCCAGATAATTTTTCAAGAGCTAGATTTTCTATTTAGGATCACAGATATTAGCACTAAAAAGCATTTCCACCTCTTCTCCCATAAAACAGTGTTGCCAAATGAAAGCTGCTGTCAGCAGAACAGTTAATGATGTGCTCAACTGCTTCTTAGCGTCTCTGTTTCCCAAAGGAACTACAGTGACTACACTGGAGTCCGAGATTGTCCATTTAGCAGCAAATCGAGCAGAGTACACGAAAGCTCCTGCAAGTTTTCTCATGGAGCCTATAAAATCATCCCTTTCCTGTGTGGAGGCAGACAAACGTATGGTTTAGATTTCACTGGAGGAGGGTGTCAGTATAATCTATTTTTGTTATTTTATACTATAAAATAAAAACAAGCTTAACAGCTAGATGACAAGCTTAAATGGGCTTGTGGATCTGTCTGGACACAGGCATGCAGCACTGCTGCACCCATCAGATACGGCATTTGCTGAGAGCTCCATATAGGAAATAAGAGCGACCAGAGAACATTGCCATGGATGCTCTTTAAACATAATATGGCATCTGACAGATTTTCTTCCTAAAATAGCACTGTTTTAATGCTAAGGATCCTAGAGGAGGCAAATGAGTATCAAAAAGACACCATAAACAGAGAGATAACATCCATACACTCTTATCCTTGAATGATCTTTATGAACTACAAGCCAATTATTCCTGGCTGAGAAGCAGATGAAGTTACGTGGGAGAAACTGAACTGATTTTAGCAAATAATAGACAAAGCTCCATGGCAGCCAATTTCAAAGAAAAAAACAAAAACAACAACAACAACAACCAAAGACAAATCTTCCTTGACAGACGTTAAATATTTGTTGAAAAATGTAAATGCATCTTGTACCTTATCATCAAAGACCACCCATCCAGATGGCAGCCACCAATCTCTCTATATAAGAATGATGCTTCCTCCAGGATATTAAATGAAGCATCCGAAATTTAATTCTTCCAACCTTCATGAATCCAGAGTTTGTTAAAAAGCTTATCTTTTTATTAACTGGAATTTGGAAACGTAAAATGTTAAATGAGGTATCTTCTTCCAGACCACTACCCTGTGAAGACAGTGGTATTTTGTTTAACTTCTGCTCTTCGTGTTAGAAAATTCTGTGATAAAAACTGTTGGCTTTGATGATCACTCTAAACTGTGTTATTAGAATAACTGCCAAAAGGTGCCTAGAGCCTAGGATAAGCACATTTTTTGGTTTTCTTTCTTATGAATGCAAATACACCCACAGCAGGGTGAGCAGATGGATCATTTTGTTCTTCTCAGCTCATAAGGGCCTAGCCTCTAAAACACAACTCGCTGCCAGCTGGCTGTGAGACTGAATCACATCAGCCACTACAATTCCTTCCCTAGCAAATGTTTTTTCAAAAGCCTCTATGAAGAAACGAAGTGCGGGATTCCTGTATGTTAGGAATGTAGTTCCATTGCAGAACACAGTGATACTCAGAATGGCAATGCCCAACACCTAGGCATATATCTAGCCACAAGTATATGAGGAACCCTCGACTACAAACTCAGTTATTCAGCTTATTTAACACACATGCAGATGTTTGTTCTGTCACATCTGCAGCTTCAGACAGAAATAATCTGCCTTCTCCTCTTCTCCAAATCTCTACTTCTATTAGCACTGCAAAGCCATCCACACAAGGACACAACAGAATATTTTCACAGCATCACAGAATGGTTTGGGTTGGAAGGGACCTTAAAGATCATAATAGTTCCAACCCCCCCCTGCCATGGACAGGGACATCTTCCACTAGACCAGGTTGCTCAAAGTCCTGTCCAACCTGGCGTTGAACACTACCCTCATATTGAAGAACTTACTCCTAATATCTAATCTAAATCTGTCCCCTTTTGGTTTTTATTCCCTTGTGCCTATCAATAAAACCAAGTACAGTTATCACCCAGAATCAATGTCAGCTGGCAGAAGAGCAGTCGTTCATTTTACACATGGCCATAAAAATAACTGTGATAGACTGTCAAGACAATCTGTTCTCAGGAGCCATTCCTACAGAGAGACTCTGTACATTCAATATTTAACTAAGTTAATCTCCCTATGTCAAGCTGTCTTAAACAGCGCAGGGTCCATGTCACACTGATCCTCCACTGAAAGAGGGAAATAAATACGGAAACAAAATGTTAGGTAGTGGCCCAGCTTAACTCAGGAATTGGAAAATTACCTACACAGGGCACGAACTCTGCAGCAATGACTTCCAAGGGTACTTAGAGGAACCTTTTTACCACCTGGTAACACATTTAATACAACCTAATCACACAATAGCTGGAGTAAAAAAAAAAAGTCTTACGGGAACTCCCAGCAATTCACACAGAAGAAAAATGGTAATGCCTTCACTGGATCTGCAGAGAACTGTGATTTCAGTAGGAGTGGAATCATGTTTGAGTAAAAAGAAAGAAACAAAATCAAAACTGGCAGCAAGATGGGAACAACCCTAAAGCCTTTCCTCAGGGTAACTTCATGTACCATTATGAACAAGCGGCAAATCCTATGACCCTGCTTTTATCCCACTCTCCTAGTGGAACCAAATAACAGCTTCTCTAGAGAGACAGAATAAAAAGTCAGTTACTTACATTCAAAAAAAAGGGCTTCACTAGCTGAAAGATGGATAATCTGGGGTCCCAGGGAAAGGGACCGTCTTGAGAGGGGAAAGGCAAAAAAGAAGAAAGCTGAGTCTTCCTTGTTTGGTTACAAAACCACAAAGTAACTCCCATCAGTGCTGGACTGAGGTAGCAGAGAGAACACTGAAAATCATGATACAGCTGTCTAAAACTGCACTTGGCTCAGTCTAACTGCATTAGTCTCCCCAGTTAGTAATAATTTTAAACACACAGGTAAACACATAAACATCTTTATACCCCTATGCTTATCTGTGCTACAGCCTTTTATTTCAATTAAATGTTATATATTTGCATTTAGCAGATAAGGGAATGAAGAACAGAGAAGATATTATGACTCTTGTCACTTATCCCTCTAAAATGATGAATGTATTCATTAGACTTCAAGGAAATATCTTGGTTCATGTGTATAAAAAATAAAGAAACCCAGAATCACAACCAAGAGAGCAGCTAATACTGCACCAAATATGAATTTACGTACTTTTATTTCTTGCCTTCTTCCACTGATACATTTGGGTATTTTTGCTTTGGAATGTATTTATAAGCCTCTTAATTACTTTCAAAAACAAGGAGAAAAGAATATAAAACCCAGGCATACCAGGAAAAAAAACAAAAAAAGAAAAAAAAAACAACCCAAACCAAACACCCCCTGCCTCAAAAAACCAAACAAGCTACCACTTAAGAATAGTAAGGCATGTAAGATTTGTTTTCCAACCCAGAACATTCTGTTCTGACATTTGAGTTCCTCCTGTAGCTCTCCCAGCAAAACTATTCCAAGTGGTTTCAATAACCACGTATTTTACATGGGAAAAAAGGAAGGAAGATCTGTCATTTAAGGCACATGATGGGCAGGCTATCTGGTCCCAGCTGTGTTATAAAATCCACATGCAAACTCTGGCAAACAACCCGGCCTAAACATGAATTAATCTTCAGCTACCACGGGGCCTTCAACAAAACTAGAAATACAGTACCAAATTCTCCACTGGATTTTTTACAGATGGTCAGTGTGGGAGTAAAATACTACCAGTGTTATGCATGAGTGGAGATCTTTTCGTCCCACATTCCACAGGTGTGAATGACTCTATATGGGTGGTAGACTGTGAAGAACCACAGCAGCAAGACATAATTTTTTATGTATTAGACCTTCCAGCCAACCTAACCACCCACTACACACCCACTAAGTGGAAAAGTGTTCTGCTTGAAAATAAAGCACTGGGGAAAAAAAAAAACAACAACAAAAACAAACAACACACTATTTGTTCTGGAGCAGTTTCAAATGTATGATTTGGATGGCAAAGTAAGCACGTTATATGCTTACCATTAACTAACCAATTAAAAACTAAATTGCAAATCACTGAAGAACTAAAAATGCACTCCCAAAAATCAACAACACACTATTTGTTCTGGAGCAGTTTCAAAGGTACAATTTGGATGGCAAAGTAAGCACATTATATGCTTACCATTAACTAACCAATTAAAAACTAAATTGCAAATCAGTGAAGAACTAAAAATGTACCCCCAAAAATCAACAACAAAAAATATATCAAATCTAGATTTTTATTTCTGCACATCAGATGATGAGATACTCCTGCAAACAATACAGTAAAATAGCACAGAATCTTTGTAGTTGCATGACAGCTTCTTTTATTTGTATGTGAAGCATGATGCCATTCAAGGGTGAGTCACTCTTATGATTAGTTCCTCACTAAGCAACATGACAAACTGTTCTCCCAGGGGGACTGATTTAAAGCGCATTTTCCAAATTTCAGGATTATCAGAGACTAAAGAAACCTGGATTTTCTGAGCAGGAGTCAGCAGAAATAGGCCATGGGTATCATACTAATTTAAAGACAGGGCAAAAAAAAACCAGTAATGATTCACCAAAGAAAGCCTGTTAGTCATAAATTCTCTCTGCATTTTGCCTTTTGCTGACATGACCAGGTTTAAAGATGAGTATGAGGAAACCAAAAACACCATGTCCAAAATCTTACACACTTTGCTCCCTGTGACCCTCTGGTATGTGGCCTTCTTTCAGAAACGAAAGGTCACAGCTAGATTTTGGAGCAGAAATTTGACCTTCAGCTTTAAGGATGACCACAGAAAGGGCTGTCATAGAAAAATAAGACAGAAAATAAGACAGAAAACTCAAGTTATCTTCACCCATTCATCCAGCATGATTCCTGTGTACTGGGGTACTGCTCCCCACACAAGCCACAGTCCAGCACAGCAGTTTCTATTCATTAATCCCTGAAGCTGTACACTGACTTACAGTTATTAGTGCAAGTTGGTGTGCTGGCGTGTTTAAATGTTCAAGCTTGG